TCTGCAAGCCCCTTTATTGATTCTTGTGTTTTTTGACATTGAGAAGCTAAGGAAGAGGTTTTGTGCGGAGATTACAACGGAAATCAACCTTCTTGCTGAAAATTGGAAGTATATTTTAGGGTTCTGATTTGTCAGGTATGTTGATGATGGTTTCTACTTTCTGCTTTGCTTGTAGTTGCCGATAATCATTGATAATCTTTAGAATTTTTTTTACTCCATGGCATACTCTTGAGATCATAAGTTTTCTTAATAAAATTTGGTTTATTAGTTGCATGCTTCCTAAAATTTCAAGGATCGCGCATGTTGTTGGGTAGTTGTATCTATTTGGTTAATTTGTAATGTGTGCTTCAATGTCTTCTATTGTTCTGTAACCCTTTGTGTTGTTTTCTATGCCAGAAAAATCCTGCAAAACCTGCTTCTAAGTTGGAAGAAGGTATTTGCATCTCCTAATCTGCCTCCATATGATTTTTTTATTAGTCTCTCTTTTTAATTTTTTATGAGAAACTTTCTGTTGTCAGGTGATAGAATAAAGTATGTTGGACCCAACGACACTTTCATTAAGATGAGTAAGAGAAGGTGAATTTAATTTTGTTGCAGCTACATAACCTATTCATTTGCTCTATGTTGTTGTGAGTGCCTAAATGCCACATACTAATCATTCGTCATGTCTGTGCAACAGAATTTTTAAAATTTAATATTTTAGCTGTTGAAGCATGAAAACGTTTCTTTGTGCACAAATTCTTTCTGAAAATTAAAAATGAAAATGGGTATTATGTGTTTCCAATGAAATCGATATGCTATTTGCACAAATTACATTGTAATTTATTTTTCCGTGGAAAATACGTGTTTTGAGATGACTATTAAAGTGTATTTACTGAATTAGTTATTAATTGCTAGGCCATCAACTCAAGAATAATTTATTTGAGGCTTTTATTGGTAATGCATCACAAACATCTTTATTTAAAACTAATCTTTACAAACTTCTATTCTCAATCTACTTTAACTACTTAAGGAGATTTGGTGAAAATCTACTTTAAGTACCTAAGGAAAGTAGATTGAATTATACTTGGTTTGTTTTGGCCTTTGGGTTATAATTAAAACTAATCTTTACAAACTTCTATTCTCAGTATACTGTCTAAAGGGCAGCGACGGGAGGTGCGTGAAATTAAAGACGAAAAATTAGCTATTATTTTCTATGCAAGTGGTGAAAGTGATGGGAAAAGCTCAGAACCACCAGTCCATTGGCTTGCTGTTACCTATTTTATTTATTTAGTTACACACTGTTTGCCTCATGTTAGAGGAAATATTTTTCCCCAAGCACGAGTTCCTGGTTCAGACCTAAGCTTTGCACTATTTTTTTTATTTTTTTTTGCAGCAAAGCACATCAAACATGATACAGATGCTCAAACTCGTGATTGTTATCTTGCTATGGATGTGCTTTGTGAAGTACATGTTTTATATCAATGACTAATATTGCTTGAAACTTTCACTTAGACTTTCACCACCATATTGGCAGGTTCTGGAGTCTCACCCATCAATAATTGTCTATTTTCCGGATCATTTTAGCTGGTTGCCAGAGAGATATTACTGGAGCTTCTGGAAAGCACGTGAGAAGTTTTTTGGCAAGGTGAAAAAGATGTTTAACCAATTAACAGAACGTAAGGTTCTGATTTACGGGCAAAACAAATCGGTGCCTAGATCAGAAGAACTTGAGTGTATTGTAAGTTCTAAGAACACCTGTAAATGTCTTCATATGAATCTTAGAACATAGTATATAGTGACTCCATATACAGTTGAATGAATGGTCAATTTTCTATTGTTTCCTTAATATTATAATATATTTTTGTAACTTTTATATTTTTTATCACTTTTACATATATAATATATCAAATTAATCATCTTTTGATGAGTTTCGATTTAACATTCATATTGTATGTATAAAAAAATAAATTATATTTATCTTTATAACAATAATAATTTTTTTAATATTAATTAAAAAAATAAAATTATTTATCAATTAATATATTTATAAACAAAAGGTAATTCATTAGAAACATCTTTTTTTTTATTATTATTAATAAAGGGCTCGAGTTGTGATGTTAAATATGTACCTCTCTTTAAAAGTGGGATCATGCATATACAATCTTGTCGATAACAGGCTGTTTAAATATTTATAATAAATTATTATATTTATTGACTTTAAATCCACATTGTTCTTGCATCTTGTAGGTATTCAAATAATGGATAAAGAAATGCAAAACTAATTAGACACATTAGAATGGTGAAAATGAAAGAAATGCGTGGACTACCTCATGCAAGCATTGAAACTATTGTTTCAGGTGAGTAAAATTTATGGGACTTACTTTTAGATTTTGTATTTTATGTAATATATGCAACTTACATATTTATAAATTAATTATTAGATTAAAGGATAATATTTTATTTATATAAATGCAAACAATATATATTTCTTTGATTTTTTTATATATTCGATGTCAGATACTTCATCCAGTCAAGCAAGAAAGTTCAGAAAGACCTTTATAGATGCAAGGCGACAAAACGGCATTCAGTGTACACAGTTGATTTTTTAAATGCAATAAAATGATCTGGAGTTTCTAATCACATCTTAAAATTAAAAGTTGGTATTTCTGTAATGCTGCTACGAAACATGGATCAATCTTCTAGGTTGTGTAATGGCACCAGGTGAGTGATCACTCGACTATTCTTTTATTTTTTTAGGCATTTATACATTCCTAAATCTTAACTAATTTATTATCTATCATTATTGTAATGTTTTTACTTTTGAATTAGAAAGAAAAATTGATAACTTTAATAAATAATCATTATTTATTTTATGGGTTGTGTAATGACACCAGGTTAGTCATCACTCGACTTGGAGATCGCATTGTTGAGGCTAAGATTCTATCGGGAAGGAATATTGGGAGCAAAGTACTTATTCCACGGATGATATTGACTCCTACTGATCTGAGACTGTCTTTCAAGTTTCAACGAAAACAATTCCACGTATGGTTTGTTTTGCAATGACTATTAATAAGAGTCAAGGACAGACATTGTCTAACGTCGAATTGTATTTGCCTAATCCTATATTCAGTCATGGTCAACTTTATGTAGCATTATCTAGAGTTAAAAGTAGGAGATGCTTGAAAATTCTGAGTTGCGATAAGGATGTAAAAACTGTAAATAAAACTATTAATGTAGTGTATAAAGAAATTTTTTAAAATTTGAAATAATATCGACTTTTGTATTTTCTATTTTTGCATTTTTATACGACAACATGTGTTTATACTATTATTTTATGTTTTATATATTTTTTTTTCAAACAACCCGTGTAGTACACGGGTGTCGTACTAGTTTTTCATTAAAAAAAATAACTGTTGGCCGTGAAAAAAAAAATAGTATTTCACAATTATAATATAAATATGATTAATTTTCATTAAACAATTTCTCTTTAAGAAAAAAGTGGCTGGACAAATTTCTGCATGATTATAGCATCAAAACATATACAAAACATCAATATTTTAATGCATTAAAAACATATTTTCAGCAACAGAAAAGTCATATTAAACGGAAATTGGCAAAGTCAAAGAATGAGAATTGACAAGGCATTGTATGTAATGGCAGATTGTTGCATAATATAGAAATATCAAGCATAATTAATAATCAACAAAAAAAAAGTCAAATCTATATGAAAAAATCAAAATTAAAAACACAGCAAATTATGTGGAACATTATTGAACACTATACAATATAGAAAGAAAAATAATTTGATTTCCCTATCATTATCAACACATTCAACTTTTACCAAGACATCTGCCTTTATATTAAAATCAATTTTTTTGCGTAAAAGTTTTAAAAATAAAAATTCCTACAGATTCTTTTAAACATTAAACAAGAAATTCCTAATATGCGATAATATATCTAAACAGGTTTGTTATAAACTTACCTAATATTTCCAAATTTTGAACAAAATACTAAAAAAATTTGAAAAACTTCGGCAAAAGACTTTGAACAACTTCGAAAAGCGATTTTGAACAAGTGTTAGCAAAGCTTCACTTACTGATATGATGAGAAAGACGACAAAGAATTGAACTATTTAGTTTTCAAAATCTGAACAAAATACATAAAAGTTACATATGTATATTATAAACAGATATGAACATACATGTTATAAACTTACCTATATATTTGTTAGTAGAGCTGAACAGAACTGTTAGAAACTTACATATTTTTTCAAACCCTGAACAAAATACATAAAAGTTTGAAAAAGTTCGACCAATGTCATGTTCTCTTCGAAAAACGATTTTGAAAAACATCTAAATAATTTCGAATTATGTATAAAATATGATATATCTTGAAGCTTATTCACAAAGAATTTCAAAAAACGACACAGGTCATTGAAAATAATAAAAAATAAAAACTACGTTTAACAAAAAATATTTCAGCTCATCATAGATTTGTAATATTATCGCCCGATTTTGACCGATTTGTTAAGATTTAGCAACACAGATTAAGAAATCGAGACGAATATTTTATTTTTCGATCACTACTGTTGGTCCCAAAAACAACATTTCTCGGATGTCTTTTTTTTTTTAATTTTTTAAGCCTTTACCGGGAGAAAATCTCCGGTAAAACAGTTGTTTTGTATTGAATCTCACCGAGTTTGTCGTAATATCGGGTTAAGGATTAGGGTTTCAGACAGAGTGAATAACGAGAGAAGCGTCGACATCAAACAAAAAAAAGATGGCTTACATCAATTTCAAGGAGTTTATCTCTATTTATAGTCATGTTATCATTGACCTGTTTTATATTTGATTTTGGCTACCCTAAAAAATTAAGTGGACTTCTAATTTGGACTTTTTTTATCATTCAATCAATATATTTCTTTATGGCCCAAAAATTGTCATTTTGTTCAAATGTCTTAAATATTTGGCACATATTTATTTTGTAATATTTTGCTGGTATTTTTTTAGTATTTTTTTTTTTTAAATTTCCTATATGATATATAGTACAAAATACAATAATTATTTAAACAATTAAAACCATTATATGTCTTAATTTGAAGATATGATTCGTAGTGATGGAAATTCTGTTGATAGAAAAACCACAAATGTTGTATATAAAGAATTGTTTAACAATATTTAGTTATTATTTCTTAAAACATTTTTTCAATGATTATATTATGATTTTTAATATTGTTTATATATTTTTATTATTTTTTGTTCTATTATATTGTTTTCCGTGCAAATGCACGGGTTAAAAACTAGT